GCGGGAGATGCAACTCTCCCGGGCAGATGAAGAGCGGGCCCTGACCAACGACCTCAAGGATAAAGTGGCTACGGTGGAAGGACAGTGGACCGAGGCTTTAGGAAGCGCCATTCAGGGCCTTCGGGAACGTGCTAAGGAGCAACTGATGGAGGAGAATGGGTGGGAAGATCTGGAGCGGCTGGAAGAGGCATGACGGGTCGAAATGACATGGCCCCTTTGATGACTTGTTTTTCATTTTTACATTTCCTATGATTTTCATTTTGTTTTCCGAGCCGCTGCTGTGGTGGAGAACCGAAGCGAGTCTCTCTTCACTGCAGCACGCGACGCTCTGCAAGATACCCTTAGTCAGCAATACCACGTGACCCACCTTCTAGAGGTTTCCTTTTCTTTAGTCTCGCTTTTCGCTCTTTCTTCCGTCTTCTCTCCCTCTCCAACACACGATGCTATTTAACTAACAAACCCCCCTCCTCGCCGCGGTACTTCCCTCGTATCCTTGAACCTTCCCTTCTTCCATTGGATCCCGGATTGATCTACTTTTGCAGCCTTCCAGTGCTTGGAGCTTGCTCTTTAAACTGTGAGTATTAATTTTTCTCTGTCTCTTGCCCCACCCCTCCTTTTTGGTTTCCTCGCACACTTGCTTAGTACCAATTGGTACCATTCCACTGCCTCACAGATGGAATGTGCCTCCCCCCTCGATGATGAGATCTTATAGCTGGCACCAGTCAGAAAGAAGCCTGGTTTGAAAAAATCTTGCTTCGTTGCTGAGTAGCTGCGATCCGGGAACGCTACCTGAGATCCTGAGAAATTTGTCACAATAGCCTTTTGCTTACCAACTTTACCATTGGTGATTCATTGCTGACTGAGATCTCTTCTCTTGACAGAACCTTGATTGAAAAGAAAAGAATCTGCGTTGTGCAGAATTCCTTACAGAATCCCGGAGATAATACGTGCCGTTGTCTGCATTAGAGTACAACACCTCTTACAGCAAGAACAATTAGCAAGATTATTTTTTTTAAATAAACAATTATAATACCAGCAATATCATCATGGTTCTCCACAACCCCAACAACTGGCACTGGGTCAATAAGGATGCCTCGGCGTGGGCCAAGGAGTACCTGACCAAGAACCTTTGCTCGATCTCTGTCGAGGAAGATGGTGTCTCTGCCAAGATCTCCAATCTACTGACCGTGGATGGCGACGTAGATGTCAGCCAGCGCAAGAACAAGGTCATCACTTTGTTCGACGTCAAGGTCCGACTCGAGTATGAAGGTTCGTGAATAATGAGTGCTTCATCCTTCTGGGGCACAACTAAATCCTTTCGACAGGTAAGACCAAGGACGAGGAGGCTGTTAGCGGCACCATCACGATCCCTGAGGTAGCCCACGACACAGAGGAAGATGAGTACGTTGTATGTTCCCTTATAATGTCCCCTCTCAGTGCTTTGTCGTTGGGTATAGGGTGACTGACTGTAGACGCCGGTAATGCATAGTTTGAAATCGAGATCCATTCGGAATCCTCTTCCAAGCAGCCCGTGAAAGACCTCGTTCGCTCCAAGATCGTACCGCAGCTGAGACAACAGCTGGTCCAGCTTGCACCGACCTTGATCGCCGAGCACGGCAAGGATCTTCAGCATGCCCCTGGAGTCAACCCATCCAGTGGCTTTGCTGCCCCTACCTACCACCCTCAGACACGGAAGCAGGCCCCTGCTGCCAAGCCCACCACCACCACGACTACCAATAAAGTCTCTGTGAACACTACCACCGTCACTGCCTCGGATGAGTTCCGTACCACTGCGGAGGAGCTGTACAACACCTTCACCGACCCTCAGCGCATTGCCGCTTTCACCCGTGGACCCCCTCGTCAGTTCGATGGTGCCAAGGTGGGAGGGAAATTCTCTATCTTTGATGGCAACGTGAACGGAGAGTTCTCCAAGCTGGAGGCCCCCACTTTGATTGAGCAGAAGTGGCGCTTGGCTCAGTGGCCTGAGGGACATTTCAGCACCCTCGAAATCAAGTTTGACCAGAACAACGCCGATGGCGTTACCCAGATGCACGTGACTTGGACCGGCGTCCCCGTCGGCCAGGAGGACGTCACCAAGCAGAACTGGGAGATGTACTACGTTCGCAGCATCAAACAGACATTCGGGTATGTGCTCTCCCCTGTTTACTGGCCAATTTGCTTCCTTACCATTCTTGCTGCCAGATCGCGCTTGCTTTCTTGGAGACAGCTGCTGATTTCTTTTGTTGTACTTGTTCTCGGTGTAGGTTTGGCACTATTCTCTGATAACGTGCGCAAATATTTGGAGACTTGATGAATCCACCATGGCAAGGTTTGGGGATATGGAAGCACCTTGAGGTTATCTGCGTCCCAACGCGTCCGTCCGCTCAAAGGACGGGTTTTAGACGAAGTTGATATCTATTCCCAATGACCAGTCTTGGACGCTTTTCATACATACACATTCCTGGCAGTTTGAGTCCGTTTGGCTCCTACTTTTCTTTTGGCGCTTATGAGGGTATGGTTTCGACGATTGCACGATAGAAGAAGGTCACACGATTAGAACAAATACAAAGATGAAATTCATATTAAATCAAACAGTAACAATAGATCCCAGAATACGGAATAGAGGCCTTAATGATTTACGTGGAGAGCGCGTGATTCTAATCCATGGATATCCTTGATTCCAGTTCCTTCTAAAGATAGATAGAGTAGATCGTTACATAAATTTCATTTTACTTTTCTTTAATCGTCAAAACCCGCCACCGAGGCAGGTAGAGAAATCAATTTACAAAGTCTTCTCGATCATCTCGATGTCGTAGTCCTCCTTGAGGGTCTTCAGGATAGGAGCGCAAATGTCCCAGGTCATGGGAGCAAGGACACCCTATTGGTTTGATTGAGCACGTTAGCAAAAAAAAAAAAAACTCTTTTCTCTTCTTTTGACTAAGGATGAGCAAGTAGTAGGGGAGCATACCTTCTCGCTGATGGTACCGTCAAGAACCAACTTCACGGCCACACCGCAGGGGACACCGACGGTCTTGGCCATGGCGGAGTAGCCGCCAGGAACACCGTACTCGCACATGGTGCTGGTGCGGGTCTCCTGGGAGCCGTCCTTGTGCTTGATGCCGAACTTGTGCTGGAGCATGACCATGTCGCGCTCCTCGGGGGCGTACTGCATCTTCTTCTCGAGCGTGGCGCAGAGGGTGTCGAGGGGGTTGCCGCGGGGAGTGATCTTCTCGTCGGAGAAGATACCGATCCAGCGCAGGCCAGAGATGATACGGTTGCGGTCCTCGCTGGTAGCGAAGGCAGTCTTGGACGAGATGGCCGCTTCCAGGTCCTTTTCGCTGGACGAGGGAGCGCCCAGGATCTGCTGGGTGGCCTCCTTCCAGGAGATGGCGGAGTTAAGAGTCTCGCGGGGCTCGTCGGACAGGAAGCCGATGTCGACGAGGGCCTTAATCATCTCGGGGAATCCCTGGTAGCGGAGGGTACCGCGGACGAGGTCCTGGGCCTCGGGGATGTTGTAGCGCTCACGGAAGGGCGTCGAGTCCCGGTTGGGGTACGCAACAAAAGCGAATCCGGGGTAGATGTAGTAGGGCTTGGCGGTGGCCATGAGGTCGGGGCCGGCCACGCTGAATTCCTCACCGTTGCGGTAGAACTTGGCAGCGTTGCGGAGAGCAAGGAGCACGCCACGGCTGGACCACGAGAACTTGTAGCCGAGCGGGTTGTCGGAGCACTCGGGGGCGGGGAGACCACCGCAGTAGGAGAGGAAGGAGGTGATCTGACCACCCTCGGCGTGGACCTTTTATGCCAGAAAGAGCTCGAGTCAGACGGATTGGAAAGTCAGATGGAAACAGGACTGGAGGAACATACCTCGGAGATGGTCTTGACGGCATACAAGTGATCAATACCCTAAATAGGCAATTAGATACCGGACAGGTCGAAGACATCAACCATGCGATGCGTCATACCGGGTCGAGACCGATCTCGTTCATGACGGTGATACCGGCCTTCTTGCACTCCTCATCCAGCTCCATCATGGCGGGAGAGACGTACGACGTCGTGACGACATGCTTCTTAGTGCGGATGGCGGACTTGATCACGAGAGCGTGGAAAGTGTAGGGGATCAACGAGATGACCAGGTCGACCTGCTCAAGAGCCTTGTCCAGGGCGGCAGGGTCGTTGACGTCAAGGGAAATGGCCTTGGTGTTCTTGAATCCCTCAGAGAGCTTCTGGGCACTCTCGAGAGTTCGGCAGGCTGCAATGCACGAGAGGATCAAGTGTTAGCCTACCATACGCCTCGTGAATCCTTGCCCAGTCCTTTCGTTGAGGTTTCTTTGGCGTGAGCGAGGGACAACAACGGTAGAGTGCGTGCGGTGGAGCAACATCATCCCATTCCGTGCTGTGATATCAATTGAACGTACCGACAGTGACCTGGACGTCGGCCTTGCTCAGAACCTCGACGGTAGGCTTGGTGACTACAAACGAACGCAAATAAGGTCAGCCATTGACTAAGAAAGGAAGCTTTGTCACCGAATGCGGGGCTCCGGATGAAACATGGACTGGGGAAGCCCTGGGGGAACGAGGGATGTCAGGAAGAGAGTAAGACGGCATACCGAAACCCGAGCCCAGCAGGAGAACCTTGGAACCAGCGACTTGGTTAGGCATTGTGACGATTGGAGGGGATGAATGATGTGATTGAGAGGAGAGAAGAGAAAGAGAAGCGGGCGTGAGTCAAGGAAGCAACACCTCAACGATGGTGGGGGGTCACGTGGGCCTGCGGTATCGGAGGGGCAAGTCAGACAAATCATGACGCTGCGAATATAATTATCCATCTAGAAGAATGCGGCTATGTATGAGAGGCTATGTACAACAAGAACATTCGAGGGGGGGGATATCGGTCGTATTGTTATGTCCAGAACAATGGAACTCCAAAAAAAAGACACTTCGAAGGGGAGGGAAAAAAAAAAGTCAAGAAACTCCGTTAGGTAGAATGCGAGGTATATAAACTACAACCCCTTGACCTTCTCATCTTCCTCGGGAGATTCTGACGAGTCTCCGTCAAAATTCCCTTCGGCCTCGGGATTCTTGCGCGACTTCGAAATCCTCCGTTGCCATCCTAACATGACCGGCAGGAATTGCCACAGATCAAATTCAGGCCATAACACATCGAGGAAAACAATCTCCGTATCTTCATGACATTGCCAGAGCATAAAATCGCTGAGACGCTCGACGCCGGATGTACGAATGAGTAGGTCAAGAGGGGGGGTGTCCTTCGTGAAAAGATGTTCTGATAACGTTTGTCGCGTGATGGTTTCCGGCGACCTAAAAACAGAGCGACCCGACTCATTTGAGACGGCAGTTTTGCCGTTCGCTGCCTCCTGGTGGCCGCCGAGGTGAAGGGTAGTCGAGGACGAGAAGGAAGAGCCCGACTCGTAAATCCTGTTCAGACGATCTGGTTTCGGCTGACCGTCCTCGCCTTGAGACAAAGATTCAGATGATGAGTCGACATCACTACCGCTTTCCTCCGTTTTATGATGCTGCGCTCGGATGTTCAACGCGATGTGACTCTCCGAGAAGGGAGTCCGCGATCCGACGGACGCTGCGTGAGCTGAGTCTAGCGGCTGGCTATATTCGGCGACGGTATCCCGAATGGCGCCGGTGATCTCGTCGCGAGAGGTATAGGGGAAGCAAATGTTGAGAACTCGATCACCGTTGTTAGCGGTCATGTCGACCGCCTTGCTTACCGCGGCGAGTACGTCCGGTCGGAGAAGGTCCAACCGACCCAAGATGCGGACCTTGGCGCCATAACGATCTAGAATTTCACCGTGTTGGGCCATCTGAGCAAGCTTCACCCGAGCCATTTCCATCAAGGAATCCACCTCGAACTTCGATCGCTTGAAGTTTTCAATACTGAATGCATAGATCGTGACCACTTTCACACCGCTTCGGTAGCAAACTTCGAGGATCTAAGGAGCGAGCATCGTCAGCAGTTGAATGTAGGGAAAGTGTATTCGTAATGGCGCTTGTCGTGCAACCCCGATGCAATGGCCGTGGCGGGTCAAGCAATAGGATATCTCGCGACACCAAACTCAGGATGAAAAATATCCAAGAGAGGCCACGGAGTAGTACGAGTGGCAATAAGACACCCCAGAAACCGACAGACTGCTTTCGCTTGACTCACCCTAGCCAGTGCCTCAAATCCCAAGTTATGCCCTTCGACCGTTTCGATCCCGTGTGTTCGGGCAAATCTTCGGTTCCCATCCATCACAAAAGCAATATGTTGTGGAACTGGCCCTTGCCTGAGTGCTCCAACCAGCAACTCTCGAAGCCTGGACAGAGCGAACTCGATTGGCGGAGATGCAAGGAACCATTTCCGAAGACGGGACAGGTGCATTGATGTCGACATGGCGTTCGGAAAACGAGAGCGACGGCGACAACTGACGGTTGAGGGAGTGGCCACGGAGATGCTGAGAGTTGGCGGATCGGAAGCGGTGTCAGGGAGAGGATTTGCGGAGCAACGGGGGAGGAGGCGAGACGGGGCGATTGAGATGGGAGTGGGTTCAGAGAGTGGCCAGTCGACTAGGGACAGCAGACGACGGAGATCCTGGCTGGTAGGGCTGTGTCCATCAGGCTACACTGTTCTCCGTTTCACCCCTAAGTGTAACAAGACAGAAAATTTTCTAATTTGGGCGAACCAAAGACGACGATGGTCGATCAGACACCGAAGGGAGGCGAAACGGGACCCCGGCCAAGGAGCTAGGCGATAGGAAACGGAGTGAAGGGAGTTGAGAAAAAAGAGCGCAGGTAGGCCGAGTACCAGAGCGAGCCAGTCGGTGACAGGTCGATAGAGATGGGCGAGGCCGAGGATGCGAAGGGCGACGTAACCGCCAGCCAGCCAGACTCTCGGTGGGTCCACGTGGATGGAAGCTTTCCACCTTCCCAACCATCCTCTTTCCATAGATACTGGCGCATGGCATCCCGTAGTCAACACGTTGATTTCGCCTGCTCTCTCGAACTTTGATCTACTCCGGTTTTGCAGTCAAATGGAACTCCACGCCGCCACCCACCCACACATACACCGTACATCCGACCCAACCATGCAACGCCCAACACCGTCCGCTTTTCAACGCGAATCAATCAATTCAAGGCTCAAACATGACACTCAGTGCTCCCCGATAAGCTCAAAAGCATAATGATAATTACGACTATTATTATATATTCTTCCGATTCTCATCCCCTGACGGCGTCCCGGGCCCCGAGCCCGCCATATCCCAACTACTACTGTCTTCACTCTGTCGACGTCGTCGCTCTCCCCGTTCTCGCATGGCATCCCGAATCTTGGTGCTCACCTCTTCGAATCCGTCATTGGTGATAACTTGGCTGAGTGGCTTCAGTTGCTGTCCAGACGAGCCAGGCCGACCTCCGAAGGAGCTACTGCGACTGCGGCTGCGACTCGGAGGTCGCGTCGAGAAGAAGCCGATGTTGGCCAGGTTATGGAACGATTCGTTGCGGGGAAGGGGCTCTTGGGTTGGAGAACCCTCGCCGAATTCCGTAGTACTCACTCGTCGGATCTCAGGAATCGGAAGCGGTTCCTCATCCGGCCTACGGTTGATCTCGCGGAAGGGATCCGTCACGATCCTCGCCGCGTCAAAGTCTGGGAATAATTCAGGGCCCAGAGTATTAATGGCATCGGTGACTTGCTGAGCCAGCTCAGCGCGTCGTTGTCGAAGTTTGACGAGGGTGTTGGCGGAGGATGGATTCAACGATAGGACCAGTGGACGAAGGGATTTCAAGATATCCATGCCAACCTCCCCAATACGAAGAGCCGCAAATGTGATGGTCGGAAACAGGATCATACCAATAGGCACGATCAGCCACAGTGGCATTTGGTCTGGGACGATCCCTCGGATCCGATTGTGGTATGCCCAGAAGGTGAAAGCCGCCGTGTAGAATGCATAAAGGGCCGGTGCAAAGGCGAGAGCAACCAGAAGTTTCCACGTTGCCATAACATCCCGCCCCTGCAATTTAACTGTGGAGGCAGCCAGGGCCTCCTTAGATTTCTTGATGGAGATTAATTTCGTGGCGATGAAAACGGGGGCGAACAGAAGCAGACCGGGGAGCGTTGCAATGGCAAGCAAGGCTAATTTGACCAGGCGGGAAATTAATGTGAAGATCACTTGAAAGAATCTGAACTTGGCATAATCGACTTGGTGGTCGCGGATACCCAGAAGACGCAGTTGGTGATTGTAGTCCGCAATGGACTTTCTCAGATGCACAATACGGGGATCATCTTTGAAATGCGTATATCCTTTGACCAAGCGTCGGTTCAGCTCAACGACCATGGGCAGTGGGAGCTTCTTGCCCCTGGTGTTGTAAAGGCGGCGAGCAGCCTGGATAACCTGTACCTTTCTCAGTTCTCATGTCTTGCAAGAAGCGCCAAGGATAACTAACCATAAGAGTTTCGTAGTCAGTGCCAGTGACCGTCACTGCAACCAGGCTTTGGTATATAGTGTCTAACAGGGCACCGACCGACTCTCTTCTTTCTCCGCGTTTATACTGTTCGACGAGTTCTCTTGGAACCTCGAATGGGGTTCCGAACTCAATGACCGCGCGGGATCGAAACTTGTGGGCGTGGAAGTAGTTCATTCCACAGGGTACAATCTTCAGGCCACAATCCGGATTATCCGCCAGCGTTCCGAGGGCCATCAGAGCGACACCAGCTGATATGAAATTTATTAGATGCCAAAGGCCAGATTCAACGGAGTGACCCACCTTTCAAGGGAAGCAATTCAGTGCGATCATGGCTACCACCTTCGGGGAAGATACCAACGCAGCCACCAGAATTAAGCCGGGCGAATACTGCCTCGTAGACTGCCGTTTGATCTACGTGAGGAGAGACCTTGAACTTGGAGCCCCTGAAACCAGCCAGATCTTTGTCCGACGAATTTCCCGTAAATTGGCCGTCATCCGTGATGACTTTCCGCCCGGTAAGTTGGTATAAAGCATCTCGAGCTTTGAAAGGCTTCTTCAAGATCAATTCCTCCGGGCCTCGAATCTCCGCAATTGTTCCACTATGTGAAGTTCCATTGATAGTAGGCAGAGCAATTGTGCCGTCCTTTTCGAATCCGGGTCCTTCAAAGTTGGTATCCACGCCGCGCACCAGGGTTGGCTGATTCACAGGATCCGGCAGATAGATCGTTCCAGTGCCGACCTTCATGTTGTCCATTGCTCGGGCGACGGGGACTGTGCCTATACCTCTAGCTAGTAGGCCGATAAACTTGCGCCGGAATGATTTTTCCGCAATGAGCCATGAGATGCGGCGATGAGCTTCGATGCGCAACGCACGCATAAGAACCAACGAATCAACGAACTACAGTGAAGCCTATTATTAGTATATACAATGCCCAAAAATGCAGAGGCGAAGGGATTAAGGGGGATCATACTTGATTAGCATGAGGGGCCGCGACAATAATCATAGGGTCCTTCCGAGGGATCTTCCAAGACCCTCGCGGGTGCACCTCCCTGAAGAAAAGGTCCACAAGCACCGAGAATGTCCATAGAACGAGGTCATACAACCACCCAATTAAGGGGGGGATGTGCGGCTGCTTCGCCATGATTTTACTTGCGGGACTTAACACCGCCGCAATTCCACTTCACTTCAACTTGGTCGCAAACTTCTGGAGAGACAACGGAAGGGGAGTATGGGACGGCGGCTGGGCGGCGGAGGGGGAAAGGGAAAACAAAGAGGACCGAGCAGGCGACAGGACTGAGTGGCGTTATCCTCCGACAGAGTGGTGAAAAGCACGCGTCAACACGACACAACAGAGCGGCGCATGGGCAGCTTAGGCTGCAAACTCGATTGAGTCGGGCTAGAACTGATCAACGGGTCGGTCTTCGAGTAGTTTTGAGGAGACTCGCTGCGGTATCAAACGGAGACTTGCGAATCAACGGTAGGGAAGGTCGATGCGAGAGAGGAAAAGAAAATCCTAACGGCTGGCCCATGTGACAAAGGGCCGTTACTGTCAGTCATGGACTGGGCACTTCTGGGGCGGGGAAGAAGAGGAGCCGGACGGGCGCGCTAATGTCCGTCGTGGTATCGCGTGTCCCTTTCGTCCATTGAGATCGAATCGGGCCCGTTGGACTGTGTTACATCATCATGATCCCATTTTAGCTCGTTACGGCCAAAAGCAGGGAAGGTGCGACTGGCTTGGATGAAAAACCGAAATTTGTTGAATCGAGCGTGTCTGTTGAGGCTTGAGTTGAATCGAGAGCTCCACGAAGGTGTTGATGCTTGGTGTCCAGAGTCTTGCAGGAGTCAAACAGAGGGAGAGCGCAAGTCGAGTCTGCCCCCCGTGCTTCCCAAAAGGGTTAAGCGCGATTCCTTATCATTCGATCCTCAGGCAAACATCCCTACCACTACCCGGGCAGGTAAGAGGTATACATTCAACAGTTCAACATATGCAGGATGGTCAAGTGTTGGGAGATCAGGCAGATCACCTTGCGACGTCGGTACTCCGTACATACCTATAATGTCACTACAGTCTAAGTACTACTTGTTCACACTACCTAAGATACTCTGTGGGAACATGGATGTCAAGATATTGTCATATTAATTTTATCACTCGACAAACATGTATATGCCAACCTCGAGATTTCAAAACACGTCTGTTCCCCTTGAATCCACAAATCCCCGTTTGCAAACGATTTCACAAACTCGAGACAGTCTTGATGGATAGCCACCCGAGGATCTTCCAGCAATACATTCGCCATCTCATAATTCCCATCATAAACCGCCATTCGCAAGGGCTCCACTCTTCCGTATGGAATGATATCGGCAATGGCGTTGACGTCGACCTCTGACCTCCTACACAGAGCACGCACAATCTCGGCATTGCACTGGAGTTGCTGGACTGCATAGTGTAGCTCCTGACGACCCCATTCGTCCGAAATGCCAACCGCACATTCCAGTTCAATCAACTGCTCGGCAATCCCAGGGTTGTTTTTGGAATAGCACAGAGCCCTATGGAGAGCCGTTTGGCCAATGAGGTTCTGTTCGTCAATAAGCTCCGGATAATTGATCACGATATACTCTATCAGTCTGGGGTCTCCTACCAGGGGCCTGGAAACTTGTCGCCCGTCCTCTTGCACGAAGGGATAGAACTCCATCCAATCGTAAATGGCATTGTGCAAAATCGTCGATCCATCTTGTCCGGTCAGACTCCCGAGATCCGTGCCGTACTCAACGGCATAGGCCAAGATATCTAAAGCATCGGGACGATTCCGGATCAAGTGGAAGACATTCATGGACGTGATTTTGACTCCAATCTCAATCAAAGAGTATATAAACTCGCCTCCCATCCTGCAACTGGCTGCCGCATGGTAGAACGGTACCCTGCATTCCACGTCGATGTTGCCGGTGAGGTCTGGCAGGCGAGGGTTGGCCTGGTACTGCAGAAGAAGATTGGCGCAGTCAACTTGATCATGCACAATCGCCACGCTGAGCATTCGATGTCCACTGATAGTGTAGGAGTCGGGACTTACGCCAGCATCGAGGAATCCTTTGAGGGCATCAAGCCGCCCATCTATTATAGCTTGGACCATGGGTTCCCGGGGAGGGATCTCTTGGTCGCCAAAGATGTATGCATAATATCTACCATCCTGCTCCTTCGTCAAGTATTTATCATAGACATCCTGGGATGGGAGAGCGTATGTTCTTGCTGTCTGCCTCAACTTCTGCCGTGCACATTGGTGGAAACCCCGAAAAGTTCGCGCAAATCGGCTCAGACTTGTTGGATCCATATAATCCATACAGTGCCAAATCATCTCAAGGGGAAGGTCGAGGATCGAAGTCATCTTAGCCAAAAAGAAAAAATTTCACATAGAGCGGATGATTCAAGTATTCAACTGATTAGGGCAAGGGCGAAAACAATGCTGCCGGCGATGAAAACCGCGGGTTTCTACACAGCTTATATATAACGAGTCGCTTTTTTAGCAACAGATGGTAATAATGGACAGATACAGATGAATGAGATTCTTTTATAATCTGAATTATGGGAATCTTGTTTGTTCTTTGTTGCGTGAAAACAAAAAGGAAACAGCAATCATAATGAGCGACAAGGAAGATGAAAGACGGGTAAACAATGGCAATCAGAGGTAACTATACGGAAAAGAGAGAAAGAGACGGGCAGTACACAGACAGTACAGTACTCCCGTTGCAAGCAGAACTTGATGGAAGAGTGAATAGAAGAATTTTTTATAATTAGGTCAGTGGATTGTGCAAGCATTCAGGGTGAAAATCGCAGGGAGAGCAGGATGTCTCATTTCTTCCGCCAGTCGAGAGAAGGTCTGAGCCGCTTTCTTTTTCTTTCTTCTTCCTTTCGTCCCCGCCTGAACCCCGCGAAAAAAAAAGTGACCCCAACTCCTCTCATCCTGACTTGGAACTATCGCCATTGTTATTCTTCCTATCGCTGGTATTGCTGCTAATAGTCATTGACACCCATCACAGTTCTCTACGTGCTCAAGTGTGACCGTGCTGAATAATTGTCGTCGTCCGCCTCGTCGTCCGCCCCCCTGCTTGTTATCGGTCGAGCTGACAATCTCGCCTTTTATCGCTCCGCCACTAGGTTAACTAGCTGGTCTTCTCCTGGGTTCCTAACCCACCTTATTCTTGATTCCGATAAACTGGGGCTTTTTATCATCGTGTTCGAACTATACAGCCAACTTAAATCCAGAGACTCAGAGCGAACATCTTGGTGTCCTCCAATCTAGGCCTTTCCGTGAGCCTGCTGTTGGAACTGGTGATCCCCTTGATTCCGTCTTTTCTACATCTTCTTCGGCTTAACTACTATCCCGTCCGTCCAATATCGCCGTGTGTTGGTTGGGCACCTGTCAAACGTAGCACACGGGTTTGCCGACTTTACCAAAGGACCTTATCACTCTAGCCCCAGGCGGTATCACGATAGCAAGATGTCGGTCAAGTATGTGATTGCTCCCTGGCTCCCTATTCCAGTTATTTGACACTAGCTTGCTCTACATATGACTATCATTGTGGAATCTAGTTATACCTCTCTTCCCTTTCTCTTTCTTCCATCCATTCTTCCTATCTTTGCAAACATATTCCATGCTGGACTGAATCTAATAACTCACTGCGCAGCTGGGTAATGATTAATGACCGAGAAGGCTTCGTTCGGCTCCCTAACGAGCAATTGATCTACACATCCCCTCCTCGTACCTCTTTATCCCTACAGCCGCTTGGTTCTTACAAGGGCAAGGAGACGTTGTCCATTCAAAGCAGCGCCGGTCAAATTTCCGTCACAAACCAACGGGTAATGCTACCGTCCTCTCTGGTTTTGGATTGTTACGAATGCTGACCGTACACGACCAGGTTGTCTATATTCCAGCACAGAAATCCAATGAGTTTCAATCATTTTCCGTTCCACTGCTCAATGTCCACGACACTCATGTTTCGGCTCCATTCTTTGGTCCAAATCAGTGGACGGCGCTGGTCCAGCCAGTCCCCGGTGGAGGAATTCCGCCGGCATTGCCCGCCGTGCAGCTGAAAATCGCTTTCAAAGAAGGGGGAGCGTTTGACTTCCACAACCATTTCGAGCGAATCAAGGAGCGTTTCCAGCAGGCTGTCGACGTGTCCCAGGAAGGCAGCCGGGGGACCAGGAACGTCGACATGTCCGCCGTCCACCTGGACGAGCTACCCGCCTACACTGGGCCATCGCAGGTCCCGACGGGGTCGGGCCCCGACAGCCACCCAAGCGGTCCGTCGCTAAACTCACAGTCGGGAACGGGTGATCGAGCAGCATCCTCAGGCCCCGATCCGATGGAACCTCCGCCGGGATATGAAGAAGTCCAGCAACAGAGTGTAGCCAATGAACTTGAGGAGAGACTTCGCCGGGCGAGCTAACGGAGGTCGGTCTACATGTTTTCAATTTTAAAGCGTGCGCATCTGGCAGGTGGAAGGGAAGGAGTATTCCATTCGTGTACAGTAAATCTTGAATTAGCAATTAATGAGAGAGAGATCAGCATTCATCTGCGAGAAGTGAAGGAAGTGAGATAGAAAAGTAAACTGATCGGGCGATTGGCCCTGCCGAGGCGTCGACCAATCACGTGTGCGACAATAACACATTCGCCGGGGCCTTCCGATTTTCCTGCTTCCGGGCGGCTTTCGTAAAACCAACCCCAAAACCTCATCAAAACCTCGTCGCTGCCAACCCTACACCACTCCACCCCCCACACCTCCCCCAGTCACCTCAATTGATACCTCCCCACGCTCCAGGATGGGTCTCGCCGATTATTTCTCCGACATCATCTCCTCCCTGAGCTTCCCTGAGGCTCAGGCTGAGGCTCCCGCCGAGACCGTCGAGGAGACCCCCAGCCAGGAGGCCCAGCCCGAAGAGAAGTCCGCCAGCGAGGAATCGACCGGCGACGAGAGCTCCGAGAAGACCGAGGAGTCGGCCGAGGAGACCCCCGCCGAAGAGACTTCCGAGGAGGAGGAGCCCGAGAAGGAGGAAGAGGAAGAGGCCGAAGAGGAGGAAGAGGAGGAAGAGGAGGAGGAAGAGGAGGAGCCCGAGGACATCAAGCCCCAGCTCGAGGAGGGTGAGTCGCTCAATTCCCTTCTGGCTTAATCGCCCTGTTTTAGTTTTGGCCTTTTTCCTGCCGCGGTCGGGGTTTGCGCGCCATGGACATCGTGCTCGATGCAACGGACAGGCGGTCGGTCTGGCGGACGGTCTCCCATGGTCCAATTCGCATTGGCCAATTCGGAACTGTCGAGTCGATACCGTTGCCGCAGGACGAGCTAAATGGCCAATTGCCTATATCATGATCTACACGGATTGAAAGCTGACATCTGTTGTCCGATAGAATGTGCCAACTCCTCCCAGTGTGCCCCCGCCAAGCACCACTTCGACGAGTGTGTCGAGCGTGTCACCCAGCAGCAAGAAGATGAGGACTACAAGGGCCCCAAGGAGGACTGCGTTGAGGAGTGTAAGTGAATATCGTTATCTCAGTTCCGTGCCGTCATGTCGGGGGCAATCAATGCAGTTTCCGCGTTCCTGTGGACGACTCTGCGTCATGTCAGAACACTCGTCGCTGACAAGCAATTTCTATCTTTTAGTCTTCCACCTCGCCCACTGTGCCACCGAGTGCGCCGCCCCCAAGCTCTGGAAGTCCCTCAAATAAACGTCTCGCTCCCGTGACGATTCCCGCCACGTTTCTCTTAATGGTTCAATGACAAAAACGGGTTTAACGAACGGCGCGTGTCACGTATTGACCATCTGGATGCGATACGAAAAGAGGAGCAGTGGATGGGAATTTACATCCGAGCGCGGGGGCTATGATATTATCCTCTAGCGCTCGCCTCTGCCTTGGTGATCCAGCATGGAAAAGGAATCGGATTCCTTCTTCGGTGTTGGATTTGTGTGTGTATGTGTGTGTTGTGTTTTTGATAAAACATGTGAAGGATGAGATGGAATGGACCCTTCGCCGTGTATGTACAGATAGCTGGTTTTTTCGCCTGTTGGAACTGTGCTTCTTAATTCTCTTTTGTGTGTTTAGAACGGAATGTTACTGCTCTCCTAGATTCGGTGTGCTCCCTATTTTGTGGCCGGATAAACGATAAAACTAACTCGATACTGAAACATTGCTAACTTGGAACATCGCGCCCAATTGACTTCAAGCCGGGGGGTTCTCGACAACAGCAAACACAAACTAACGCTCACTAAAATAAAGGAAACTGGAACTGAAATAGGGTATTGGCATATCTCATGAAACGACCCCAACTAACATCCGCCGTCGCGGACCTCATCTCGACCAAAACTTCAGGGCACTGAACTTGGACCTCGCCGGGGCTGCGCCGTCCTCTCCGCTCTGCACCTGCTGCATGTCCTCCCGACCAGCCTCTGTTGCATCCAAAACGACTCCGCGGTCGATATCCAGCCGACGGCGGCGCACATCGCGGCCGAACAGCCCGATGCAAATGGGAAACGGCGCTGCGATGACGGCAACGACAGCCGAGAAGATCAGGGCGTTTTGCATATTCAAGGGCGGAGAAGCCTGGCCCCCAGCCTTCAAGGCGTCCTGGACCAGAATAAAGATGGCTCCTAGCAGCTGGCCACCCGTCCAGCAGATGGTGCTGCCGATCTCGGGCGAGAACGGATACGTGATTTCTACGAGGTACTCCAGGACGACGGGCAGGAGGGCGAACGAGGCGGCGCCCAAAATGGCCAGGACGACGTACGAGGGCGCGATGCCGAGGGGGCTGGGCGGCGCGAAGATCAGCGCGATGTAGCAGATTGCTACGATGGGGACCAGCACTCGGATAGTACCGAGGTAGTGCTTAAAGCGGTCGGTGATGGGCGAGATGATGGCGGAGCTGATCAGGCCAACGACGATGAGGATGCCGCCGGCGATGCCGGCCTCCGTTTCGCTGAAGGCGTACGGGGATAGGATCTGGTTGAGCAGCGACGAAACGCTGTTGAAGAAGCCGACGTAGACGGAGAAGGGGATCAGAATGAGCCAGAACTCCAGCGTGCGCAGCAGCTGGCTGATGGCGGGGAGGAGGGGTGCCTGCACAGTGGCCGCGGACGAGGCGCTCGGCGGCGTGGGTGGTTTGGCGGGAAGGAAGAACGAAGGTAGGGATGCGATCGTGGCCTTGGGAGTTGTTGATGTCAGTGTCTCGGAATTCAGGCTCGAGGGGGGTATTTGGGAGGAATCTTTACGATGACGGAGATGTAGAGGACCATGTCTGGAATCTCGCTCGCCTCTTCGGCCCAGAAGGAATCGATCAGTTGGCCCAGGGCTGCTCCTAGCGGGTTGGCCAGCGTTGCGAGAGCAGTTGCGCTGATTCGTCCACGATCTGAAAACCAGAGATCGCTATATCGCGTTGGGGCACTCAGACAGAATGGCTGCGCGAACCCGATGAGGATCTGGCCGAACATGACGACGCCAAACATGCCTCCGCGGGCGCGAGTACCGGCATATCGAATCCAATTGCCTACCAGCAAGAGGGTCGACGTGATGATGATGGCGGGTTTAGGGCCACCCTTGTTGAGAGTGAGGATCACGACGCTGGGGGTGGTGGGCAAGACGTCAGTTCTGACCGACAATCTATACTTGAAAGGAGATCCCCAAGGGGGAGGGGGAGAGGGGACTCACGGACTTGCGACGCAAAAAGCGAAGAGATAGCCCGTACTCAGCCAATTGATGGCACTCTCCGAGACCCCAAAATGCTCCGACGCCGTGGTTGAGATGGAGGAGAAGGTCAACCACTACTCCGTCCAGCATGTTCATGTCAGTGGATAGGTACGAGATAGGTGAACGATGTTAGGGCATAAGTATGAACATGAACACGTACGTCCCAGCTCACGACGATATTCAACAGAACCAACTGCAACAATCCCCAGAATCGACGCTTGTAGACCTTATAGCCACGACCAGTGGGCGGCAATTCCACCGGGGGATCTTGTTCAGTGGTCTTGGAGGTCATTCTGGCGATCCCATCGTCTACAGGCACGAAAGGATAGGAAACAAGAGGAACGGAGAGGAAAAGAGGGGGTCAAACAAGAGGGGAAGAAGCCTTAATTATTTTATATTAAATGATCACCGTAAAGTTGGGACCACCAGCAACTAAGGAACGGGATGAACCACTGCTACCCCGGAAATTGAGGAGTTCGAGCGCCCATCCGAGGCTTGACGTTTCATCCCGTTGCAACCTCATTATTCAGACCATGTGTGATCGTCTGCCTCCGGACGGAGTAACTTAGGGTAGTGTGGACTGTGGAGTGTGGACTGCGGAATTCCACCAGACAGTTTGACATGTCTGGAGAATGTTAGATGATGGCATCATATTTCTCTGGCATAGTTAGTTAGTTACCCCATATAACACTCGACTCCTCCGATCGCCTCTTCCGCACAATGGAATGTGAGATATAACCCAAGAGTCGATGAACCAGTCACACTGTAATCAAATTCTGTCTCACTATAATCTTCCACACGAACTGGTTCGTGTGCAAAATTCTCCTAAAACCGGTGGTTGGGATACGATCAACATCACCGTCGTCATACATGCAGTCAATCCAGACACCTGCCTCCACTTGGGGGTGGACGATCTTCGGGAACGCAGGCAAAGAAGGGGGGAACAGAATAACGAAGAAGAAAAGCCAAAGGAAAAACAGAAAGCGAGGAATCGAATCCCGCAAGGTGGATGCATCCAAAGCCAACCTGCACATTTTCACTCGGTCGGCTCAGCCCTCGCAGATCCCCGTGATCTCCTTTCTTTGGGGTCGTTTCTTCCTTTTCTCTCTTTCTTCCTCTCTCTCTTCTTCCTGTTAAACTTTCTCTGTACCTCGTCTTCTCTCCCCATCTAAGTTTTCCCCTGGTCCCTCTCGTTCTCCAACCTCTCTCGGGGATTTATTCTTCTTACAACCCCGTTCGCACTCTCCATTCTCCCTCTTCTGCTCCGTCCGGTTCTCCATTCTCGCCCCCAGCATGGCCGCTGCCTGGTGATCCGCTTTGCTACTCGCATGAATTGGAGTGGTCTCAACTTGATCATCCACTCGAGTTTTCATTCTGAACCTATTCCCGCACTTTCACCGCCGCAATGAACCGTCTCGATCTCCGATCAAGCCAGTCGTCGTATGGCGACCCAAGGCATTACTCCGCCAATTCCTTTGGCGCTCCGCAGCCGCCCCCAACAAAGACTCTCGTGGACGGATATCGAGGCGACTTCGACAATCACAATGCCGAGACTACGCGATTCAATCCGGTATGCTTCTGAGCCCAGTTTCAGACACCCCAGTTCTCATGAACGGGTCGTTAACGTCTTGCTTCCTGAACAGCTTAACCCGGCGCATCCTCAGAGCTCGGCCCTCCTGAACACCAATGACCCCGTCGCCATGTATTTATTGACGGAGACCGCCATGGGCGACAGCAAGAACTATGAGATATTGTCGTTGGAAGAGGTTGAAGGCTTGAAGAAAGAACACAAGTTCCTGTCGGGTCGTCTGGATGCGGCTAAGCGGAAACTGGCCCTGGAAACGAAACTCCGCGATGCGGCCATGTCTCTGAGTAGACTGTACAACTCCAAGAGCCCTCGGGTCAGCGACGAGTATGATTCCGGTGGCTCCCCGAAGTCCAACCGAAGTCGCCGAAGTGTCTTCGGCCGCAGCGGTGGCTCTGGTCCGCTGGATAAGTCGGATGGCGAGCTCGCTGTGAGTGCGCGTAAGTGTGAGGACCTCTCGCAGGAAATCTGGAACTTGGAACGGAGGGTGCAGCAGATCCAGAAGCGACTGCTGGAGCACACGGCTGGTATCTTGCAAATGACCCATAAGGGTTTGAAGAAGAACAACAACAACAACAATATCCCGCACACCCCGGAAAGCCTCTCGAGCCACAACACCCGCGACAGTGTGGACGACTTCGACGACCGAAGCTTATACAAACCGTCCGATCATGTCAATGAGCTAAATGGGCAGGGTCCACGTGCAATGGGGACGGCCAACGGTACCGAACAGATACCCGGTGGTCTGGATGCGCTGCACAACATGGAAAGACGACTGGAGGAGTTGAGTGAACGGATGCGCGGCATGATTCTGGAATCCAACCCTAACAGTGACTTTCACTCGATTTCGCCTCCGTCGAACAACGGCGGCCCTGTAAATCCGACGGCAATGATTGAAGCACACCTTGCTTATATTGAAGACGGACTTGGTGCGCTCGCTAGTCAGCCAGCCGGTGCCTCTGCTTCAAAAGACGGGGACTACGAAACGGGACAAAAACTGGGAGAAATCAATGCTCAGCTGCACCATATTGTAACCCAGTCCGGGTTGTCTCGGGCGCAACCACTGCCACCGCCTCCCCAGTCATCTCATGCAGACCTGACGGAGCAACTATCCTATCTCACTCTGGGCGTGGACAACATCCAGCAGCGAATGGAAGGATTTTTGGAGCAAAAAAGCATCCTCACGACGCAGATCCAGCAGCAGCGTGAGCTGAACTCCAAGTCGGATGCGCAAAGAGACGCACATATTGCCGACCTGATCGAGCAATTGGCCCACGTGAAGAAAGATCTCGAACTGGCGGAACGCGAGGGCGAGCAATCAAGGGATCAGTTGAACTTTACAATGGAACAGCTGGAGGCGGCGCGTGGGCAGCAGCCAGAGCAGCAAATGCGCAGCATCCCCGAGGATCACTCGGCCGCTGATCACTCGGCCGCTCTCACATCTGAGAAAGAGTCTCGCGCACAAGCCGAGGCTGAGGTCTCCCGTCTGCAGACCGTCTTGCGTGAGCTTGAGCGCGAAAAGGAAATCTTCGAAGATTCTCACAAAGTCAGCGCACAGGCAGAGGCGGAAATTGTGCGTCTCCAGGGGATTATCCAGGAGCTGCAACATGAGAAAGAAACTCTCGCGGATTCTCACGAAGCCCGTATGCACGCAGAGGCCGAGATTGCACGCCTTCAGGGAGTGATCCAAGAGCTGCAGCATGAGAAGGAAGCTCTGGCGGAATCACAAGAGGCTCGCTTGCACGCAGAGGCCGAAATCACGCGCCTGCAGGGGCTCATTCAGGAACTGCAGCGCGAGAAGGATATTCAAGAAGACGCTCATGAGGCTCGTCTTCGTGCCGAGGCCGAAATTACACGTCTTCAGAGCGTCACGCAAGAGCGTCAGCACGAGAAGGAAGCCCAGGAGGAGGCCCAAGAAGCACGCCTCCGCGCCGAAGCTGAGATCGCACGTCTGCAGGGTGCCATGCAGGATCTCCAACACGAAAGGGAGGCGCAGGTCGATTCCCACGAAGCGCGCCTCCGCGCGGAGGCAGAGGTCACTCGCTTGGAAGCTCACCTCCAACAGCTGCAGTCGGGATCTAACACACATGAAGAGCAGCTGAGTACGGTGCGGTCACAGGCAGATGCCGAAACGGCGCGTTTGCAGGCTGCGATTGATCAGCTTCACCGGGACGCGGACGCGAAAGCGGAAGAAGCGGCGGAAGCTCGCGAGCGTGCCGAACAGCGGATCTCACAATTAGAGGATACAATGCAGCAGATCCGCAGCGAAGCCGATGCTCGTGTCCAAGAAGCCACGGACAAGCGCTCACAAGCCGAGAATGAAATCGACCGACTGGAAGCTTCTATGAACCAACTTCGCGCCGACATCGAATCGCAGCTCCGGGAGGCAACCGAAGGCCGCACTCATGCTGAGGCGAATGCCCAGAACTTGCAGGGCGAGCTGACCGAGCTGGAAGGAGAGGTTGTCAGAGTCCAGACGGAGTTGACGATGGCCAAAGCCGAGCTCGATGGCGCATATGGCTCACGTTCTCAACGTGCGGCCGCCAACCCTGCCATCCAGAAAGAGCTCGATGAATTGCATATGAAAAACTTTGAACTGGCCCAGGAGCTTGCAGGTCTCAAGGCCGGCAAGCCTGGTCATAACGGCAACCTGCAGCACCGTGCCGATACGTTGGAGAAGGAGCTCCGAGAAACCATTGATGACTATGAGACAATGACCAAGGCCAGCATTGAGTTCGAAAAGGAGCGTGAGCGGTTTGAAGGCCACATTGATAACCTCCGTGATCGCTGCGAGCAGCTGGAGACGCAGCTCAACGAGGAGCGCATCACCTGGATGGGTATCCACAACCCCACTATGGGGCGCGACGGCACCTATGAGACTACTTCGACCATGGTGTTGAAGAACGAGTTCAAGAAGATGATGAGGGACACTCGAGTTGAGAACATGAAGATCCTGAAGGTACATTCTTATCCCAAGTCCTTTTGGCCCCGGACCAATCCAAGCTAACGCGAACGAACAGGCGGAACACGAAGAACGTCGCAGACTCGAGACTTTGATCCGAGATTTGAAGAAGGAGCAAGCAAATGCCGCAGGCAAACCCGGCGTTGACCAAAGTGTCACGACTTTATGATCATGACAGAAGACGCGTTTTGGATTTTTGATTGACTTTTTTGAGCCTCCTTTCTCATCCCATCACCTTATCTTGGTCGATGTCGATGGATATACCATTCCCAGTACATACTAATGTTTTTTCTTCTTAAACGTCCTGTCTGTCTTTCTTTTCCTTGGGCGAATCATTTCTTTCTCTCGGTCCTACTATTTGAGTGTGCACATAGACAATTTTGGGGAGCCTTGTATTATACATAATTTACTCCCTTGCCTACGGGTGTCTCATAGCTTTTGGATGACTATCTATTCTTTGTTTTCTTGGGTTCTTGGTGACTCGGTCTCACGGCGCGCCTTCTCTCATCTACACGACAACTTGGGAAAGCACGATGGATTGCGGACAACCTTCCAAATGATGGACACCATTGCAATTCTGGTATCACCTCAATTCATCCGAAGCCTCTCTCTTCTATATATTATACATTTTCAATCTTTTCAATGTGGGTTTAACAGATTTCATCTGTTGTCTCAGTATGACGAACCAATGCCAACCTCGTGCCAAACGAAAGGCCGTCCCACCAGCACGGTCAATATTCCAGGAGCCTTCACAGTGCGTAAAAGAAGAATCATCTGAATCAAGCCACGAGAGCTCTATTTATGATGCCATTCGAACAAGCTCTTTGAACGATGTCAACGCCTGTGGTCCTAGTTCAATTGACGAGCCGAACACGTTGGACAGCAGGATGGCAGCGAACATCGCCATGCTTCTTCCTCTGACACCCGAACAGACTGCTCATAACCCGCCGTTGCATAGACAAGATTACAGTCAAAACCTGGAAGATAATTCTTGCAGACGCCATGCGTATTTGCTCTCCGACAGCTTTACTCCGAAACCACCGCCAACTAAACAGGCTCGACAGCGGGAAGTGAGCAGTCTCAACGATGTTTATCGCCGACCGACGACCCCAAAATGGTCAAAAGATCTATTTTCGCCTGCAAAGCCGGTTTTACCAAGATATCCCCCTCCGGTCAGGTCCCCGACACCTCCCGGCCTTCCATCGTTTGGCACCCAGGAGGCCATTGGCTACTCCGCCCAATTCCCTGTACAATCCTCTGCAGTTGATAGACAGCCTCAGCTGCATGATCGTTTCTACCGTAACCAAAATTCTCGTCGTCAGACTGCACAGGACACCGGTACTCTATCTTACGGGGAGCGATGGCGAAGGCGCCTTGGTTTCACCTCCATTCCTCCCTCCTCCCAGCCAAATCAACAAATATGTACCGTTGCAAGAGCGGCCGATGGTACTGCTGTCCTGGGACGGTTCCCGTACAGGCAAAGCGGACATGGCATGAATGCCGCAAGGCGGTTGGACGAGCATCCTTTCCATCGAAGGACTCTTACAACGGCTCAGTGCGATGGCATCAACGCGGAGGATAACACAATTCGTGAGGATGCACGATCAAATGTTGGCGTAGATAACCCGAACAAAAGGATTTCCGTGGCATCGAGTGCAGACTCGAGTACAGGGAATCATGAGCTTCAAAATGCACTATCGCGGCCGCGCAATGCTGTCCTTCGCCCGCCCCGAAGACCAATATCCATGAACACTTTCCGCAATGTCTCCAGGCGTGCATCACATCAAACTTGTGACGGCCAGTTGAACGCACCTGAAGCGCCCGGAGAGACCCCCGGAACAGGCTTGCAGGTTCATAGCAGAACCAGTGACTCTGCTGGATGTCTTCTCGCATCGACACAGGCGTCGATGATAAGTAGCGTGCAACAATTGGATGTTGGAGGGGAGGAAAAGCCCGTTACTTGGTTACAACAGGTGAAAACAAGCGCTTCTTGCTTTTCTTGTTGCCTGCGACTGGGCAACGAGTCTGATACCGTGACGGATTCTAACACATGCTCTCATGACACATATACTACAGCCAGAAGCCGAGTAATCGATGAGAGTACAACAGAGCAACCGCATAACCAAGTTGGTATGGGCTCAAAGCCTCAACAGTTCCTGCGATGGTGCGCAGATACATGGAAATCGCTTCGGGGTCTGGCTTTTCGCAACTTCCTTGTCACGGAACCTATGCTCGGTTAGGCTGGTCTTCCGGGGGATAATCAGCATCGCACACGCTGAGAGTGCTCTTGTTCGTTGTTGCCAGAGACTTGTTCTACGCGGGTGACTGTCCATTCAGTTTATCCCGGTGATATTGTTAAAAGTATTTTCTCCCACACTACAGCTCGCTCCCCCAAGTCCTTCTTCTCTCTTTTGTTATATTTTTCCCATCCAAAATCACTATCATTTCCAGCAATGAACGGAGTAGATGAACCGGGGAGTTCCAAATGAATAATACGTCTCTATATTGGCTAGGACCTGAACCTGAAACCAGTGAACTCCATTGCTCTTGATGCCACACTCGCTGGGAAGTAACAACCACAGAAAAGAAAATATGATAGGCGTTATAAATCAGCAGAAAAGACCAAATCCAACGCAGATTGATAAACAGATGAGTTTTCTTCGATGGGACGGAGTTTCCACATTTTCACAAATAAAGGACGCCATGATTTCATTTATAAATGCAAAAGGTAAGGAAGGGAAAGTGTTATCCATGAGAATAAGATGTATGTATTGAAGATCCTGGCTGAGGGAAGCCAGCGAAATAGTAGTGGTGGGTGGAAGAAGAAGGGGAGATAAAATATCTAGGTGGTTTACCAACACCTTGCATGCATTTCCACATGAGAAAAAGGTTCCAATTACAAATTTGAGGAGACAGACAGAGGGATAAGAAAGACGCAGTCGGAAGAATAGAAGCCTAGCAAGGAGGCGGAAAAAAGAAAAGAGAAAAGACAAATCCAGGGAATCAATTCATAAACCGCTGAAAAACTGGCACGCTTCGTTAAGTTCCAGATCGTCGCCTACAAAGTCCCACCCCACGATTCGAGGGTCGTGGCTGGAGCAGATGATCTTTCGGCAGTCGAATTGGAGTTTGTAGACGCGGGAGGTGGGCTGGGGGATGGGTTGCATCGGCCGAGGAGGGTGATTGTGAGGATGGAAGGGTGGAACAAATTGGTTGAAATGAGGCCCATGGGCCGGGTTTGGCATCGGTGGTGGCTGATGAGGAGGGCCACCTTGTGGGTGAGCGAGAGGATGGCCTCGCGGGTGACGGGTTCGAGTCGCTGAGCTGCCGTTCATCGAGGACGCTTCTTGCGCACAATCGGCCTGTTTGAGTTCTAACCCTACGACCCATTTCCCTTGACTGTCTTTCTTCCAGATGACAACGGTCTCGTCATACGAGCCCGAGACGATGCGGGCCCATTGACTTCCGCCTCCGCCTGGGGGGATTCGAGCCCCCAAGGCCTTGATGTCCCGAGGATCTCGCGATCCGGCGGTATTCTGGAGGTGACCTGACCGTCGCAACGCGCTGGGGCCGAGACCGACGGCCGCACTGGTGCGCTGGGCATCCCAGAATTCGTTGTCGACGGCTAACGCCTCGAGCCTCATCGTTTCTTCGGCGCCCGGGGGATCGCCAAACCCGGCCTGGACTGTACGGACGAGATTGCGGTGGCCTCGGAGACAAGCAACTTCTGCGCCAGAGATGTGATCGAAGATGCGGACCGTGTTGTCGTTGCTCCCGCTGATAATGCGTCGGCTGTCGGATTGCACGCATGCAATGCCTTTCTCGTGGCTGATGATCGTCTTTTCGCAGGCGCCAGTGCGGATGTTCCAGATCTTAATCAATCGGTCACCCGAGGCGGACACGATTTCATCTTCGTGGATCTGAATGGCGTTGACGGCGGCGCCGTGGCCTTCCATTGACATGAGAAGGGTGTACGGCGCCAGAGTCAGGTTGTGATTCCGAGCAATCTCCGCTTCGAGGACGGGTGATGGCATTTCGGCGGTGTCGACGATATATGAGGGATAGTTAACTCCGGAACCATGGCGAATAGTTGGATATTCCTGATCAGCCGGTGTCAGCTGGCGTCGGCTCCATACTTTGATCAGTTTGTCCTTGGAGCAGGTGACTAGATAGCGCGAGTCGTATCGCAGATTCAGGACGGAGTCATCGTGGGCATTGACGATCTGATGGATCTTCTCGCCCGTCGAAAATCGCCAGATGATGACACTCTTGTCGCTACTTCCGGAAATGATGATGTCCTCGGATGGACGAGGGTCGAACTGCAAACAGAGCACCGATTTCGAGTGGCCCAACAGGGGGGGATGGCATAGCCTTTTGGTGTCTAGATCCCATATCCGCACGCTTCTATCTCGACTGCCGCTCACTAGCCACTTGCCCCAAAATTGAATCGAATACACACACTCCTGGTGGCATTCATCCATGTGAGACGGATGTGGAAGCTGAAATGTGCTGTAGCAACCTTTGTTCCACCGCTCCTCCAACCGTCGACGTTGCGCGTATAGATGGATCCAGTTCAGTTTTACCGACCCGTTAGGCATCCTAAAGAAGAGAGAGGATGTCGGGGAAACCCTAGCTGGTATAGAAATCTGCCCGGCTGCCCTGATCGAGGTGGGGTCCGAGGAAAACCCGTGGCTGCTCCTGCAGTCTAGCAAAGCTTGCCTCCCGGAATCCGACCTGCTCCGCTGGTTTGAGGCATCGCTCATGAGATGATCCCCTTCGGGGTCAGCTTCCACGGGGGCGTGCCGTCCATTCGCCGGCGGAACTTCGTGGGCATCCAAAGATGCGTTTTCCCGCGAGTCCAACCAGCTTGGTGGTACCCGTTTTTTTTGCTTCGGTTCTCCGAGGTCCGCGTCTGCATATCTTGATCGAGATTTGCGACTTTGAGGGGATAGCAGTCCGGAGTTTTCCTCTTCAAACCTGCGCACGGCGTCGACGTCGACACGCCAGCCTTCTTGTATGTAGAGATCTCGCCACAGACGCGAATCGGCGATGCGGTTGCGCCAGGCGCGAGATGCCAACGAGGCGGTCGCTAACGTTTGCGGATCCAGGTAGGAGAATATCTCGGAGGTGATTTCGGGCGGAAGCTTGAGAACGGGGTCCATGTGCAGCAGAGGCGCGAGTCGGTCAACCAAGGCGGCTACGGTGGAGGTACTCATGGACTGTAGGAGGCTGTAGGCGAACTCTAAGGGAATGAAGGTCAGTGCCTGGGTTGGGGGGTACGGGATCGTGACACACGCGAACTGCGCCCAGCGGGAGCAACTCACCAGCTCTCTCCGCCTCACTCGTAGCAAGAAGCCAGTCCGGGAGATTCATCACATCGTTCGCAGGCGAGTTTAGAAGGAGATCTTTGTCCGCCTGGCTCCTGGTCTCATCGGAGTAGCCCTCGTCGAGCTTGAAGGGTGTGGGTAACGAGGGGGTAGCGAAAGACGTATCGTTGGCAGCGTGGAGCCGAAGGAGACGAGGGATGGTGGATTCGGGGGCGGGAGTCTCCCTCGCCATGAGTCTGGCGGAATTTTTTGGAATGGGCCAAGTCGACAGGAAAGATGGGAATCTGACTCGTTCGGTGGTCACAGGAAGAAGAGGGAATGAATCGCCCTGGCAGGTCAGTTGACAGTTGACAGTTGATGCTTGGGATGGCCGTTGCTTCTTCGGGTACTGCCGCCGAGCCGCCTGAAGCCACCCCGTTAAAGCGGCCTCCCGCCTAGGAAGTATAACAATTTCGATAGAGGACTCCGGACATCATCCAGACACACTCCTTGTTCATTTTACTGATTCCCATATAGCCCGTCTAGACTATCTAGATCATCTACAATGCTTTATACACAACTTGCGCGTTGGTCTACGAGGGACCATCGAGCTACTGCTGTCCGATCTGCGAGCCTGTCTTGATCGTATTGATTAACCATGATCCCCTGCTCCTCCTTTGAGTGTTTTACATGATGAAGGTGTCCTACATGACCTACTCCGTAGTGAGGTACTGAGGCAGATTATGTAGGGGCGAGTTGCCAACCTATTTGCTGATTGTATAGATGAAGTCTCTTTAATTTCAGATGAATCGCGTGTCTATGCACAGCGGATAACATTAACGATAACATGAAGTAACGACCCGACTCCTTCACTCTGGGCCTGGCTGGATGAGCGGACTGAACCTCTGCATGACATCTTCCGGTAGCTTCATCCCTCCAGGCTCCTTCTACTGTAGAAGGAACAGGTAAGGTATTGCTTTTGACGTAGTGACATGGGCGATTTACCACGGCATGGCTCGATTTAGATAAGTGGAGGTCGACAGCCAGGTGGAATGGCTTCAAAAACGATAGAATCGTTCGTCTCTTGATGGGCTTGTATAGCCACGCAACTGCCGTACCGGGCAGAGATCAACACGGTGCCACCAGGTGGCTATTTCCGCAGTTTGTGAGGTTTCGTGGATATTGTCATCCTCCCAGGTCATCATCGGCACTACGAGGCCTTAGCCCGGCACCAGAAGGGACTAGTCCGAACCTCAAACGCTTAATGTATGAGGAGTCGAAGGCCCCGAAGTATACGGAGTAACCCGAGTACTCAGTACGGTGTATACCGGGGACATCCTACACAGTAATGTTGTAGGAAGTAACTACTAGGGGTAATAATGACTCGGGAGATGTTCTTCTTCTTATCCAACGGAGAAAATAAGCACAGGGCTCACCAGCCATACCATCGGGGGGAAGAAAGAAGAAGAATCAGCATCGGCAGGGGAACCTCAGGCGCCTTACGGAATTCCTTCTCCTGCCCCCCTCCTCCCTTTTTCTGCTTCTCTTTCTTCCCTTCCCTTCTCCCTGCTTGTCTGTTTCATCATCTCTTATTTGTTGGTTTTGGGTACTGCTTGCTCTCTTTTTAATAGACCTTGCAACCGATTTAATCTCCCCCTCTACCTTCGGAGCGGATCTGCCCGATTTGAAGGCAATAATAGTTAGTTGGGATCAGAAAAAGGGTGTCGCCTCCTCTTCCATCACTGGGACCGTCCTATTTCTATTTCTATTTTGATCCCATCCCTCCATTCCCTCCATCTATAATCTGTCATCTAGTCCCTGCCCCCCCTACCCTGGACTGAACGCTTGCCTGGCTGCAGCGGTCGAACCCCACATTCACACCCTTTCTTCGATCTCCCAATCCCGGGGCTGGTCTAACGGACTACTTCCCAGCA